CCCCGTATGAAGAAATGCGGCAAAGCCACATCAAAACTATCTGATGCTTCCCCAACTGTGGGGATGACAGCATTTACCTGATGTCCCCTTAGAGCATGGAGCTGTTCTGACTTCTATTGGGGCTGCTGTGGCCTGTCAGGTAGTGAGGACTTTATATCCCTGGCTGGATCAGGTGCAGTGTCCTGCTCTTGGCCCTTTCCCAGCAGGTTGTGTCTGGCAGAACCCATGCATAGCCCCACTTGTGTCTCCTGGATTACACCCAATTCTTTCCTGGCTCCTTTTTGCCCTTTGCCCATAGACTCCAGCATTGATGGTATTTAAGGATGTACCAGGATCAGGCTGGATCTTGTGTCCTGCAGCACTTCACCCAGGGTGGTTGTGTGATTACAACAATGTTCTCTTATGGTTGGGACCTTCTTTTGAAATGCTGGAATTTCCCTTTCGGAGATGGGTTTTGACAGAGCCATATAGCCAGTGTGATGCCCTGCAGTTGGAATATCTGGCTGGTAGGCTTGAGATGAGAAGTTTCCTTTATGTCTTCCCAGAGGTGGACCCTTCTCTTCCCTCTCCCCCACCCTGCCTCAGGTTAGGGTGTTTCTATGCAATGATGGGACCAGAGCCTATGTTGAATGCCAAGAGTAAGGTCAGCTCTGAGTATCAGTCAGCCTTGTTTTCAGTTATTGGCCAGGTGCCTTTTGAAACAGTCCTGCAGGAGACTTGCCATGGCGGCATATGGAGGTGTGAGGTGCACTTACTGCTCTGGCCTTCATTTATGTGCTGTGCTTTTTAGCTGTACATCCTCGGTATGCACATTAACAAGTCTTGTTATCGCATAAACCAGAGTGAAGTGCTCCCTGCCCTTTGAACTTTATCTATGGGTTCTTCACAGGTGGAGCGAGAAAAGCAATCTACTGCACTTTCTAAAAGGCTAAATGTTTCTTAGGCAATGCTACTGGTAGCACATCTCTGGTGGGGCCTCTGTGGAAAGCAGAAAACACTCTTCTATCATTCTAGCCTGCCTCAGGTGGCCAAGATAGTTGCAAGGCTGAGTCACCTTTTAAGCATCTGAGAACACAATGATCTGCTGGATGTGTCCTGCCTGGTGCCCTACTGCTGTTATAGATAAGACTTACCCACAGAAATAAGCTAGAGTTGTGGAATTAAGTGTCCTACTGATTCCTTGTCTGTCAGAGAGTTCTGTGTATACATAGGGTCCAAATTGTATGGGTTAGTGGCAGCCACGATGTTAGGACTTTGGGATAAGAAAACTTGGGTTGTTTTTAAAGGCCATCCAGGGACCTGGCTCAGTCCTCTCTGCCCATCAGTACTCATTAGCTGCTTTCTGTAGTGAGGAGGAGAGGGCAGGATAGCCGGTGTTCCTTGCAACTTCATGCTTGTATTCAGGATTGATGGTCAGTAGCAAAGCATCGCAGCCCCATCTTAATGGAGATGTACAAAACAAAAGTGCAGCACTACTGTTTTCCTCCTCATGCAGCCAACTGAAAAGATATGTGACCTCTTCCCTCTTCAGATTCACACCTCAGTGGGATCATTACTATAACCTGGCACCATTAGCGCAAGAAAACAGGGCCAGCCAGAGCCTTTCAAGTGAGTAGCTCCCTCTGAGGCAGCAGGATCAGGCTGAACAAGCCAAGCCCACACTAATCACAAAGCACTTGCTCTGTATCACTGAACAGCAAGAAAAGAGGTTTAAATTATTCTATTTATCTTCTGTATTTAACAAACTTTGATTAAATTTATTGATGGAAACCTGTGTGTGTGTGTGTGTGTGTGTGTGTGTGTTCACTCGCTGTGTGACCTGTTCTGCTTCAGAGAGGGGATAGGGTATGGTATTCTTGTTAAGGAGCGAGAGAGAAGAATTTTTAAAATTCAGGTCATTCTTATCTTGCACCAAAGGTGATGTGAGGAAACCTGACTACAAATAAATGGTAAGAGACCTGTTTGCTCTGTATGGATCAAATCAATAGGAACCTTCAACTGTAAAACATGCTTATGGGAAGGGAATGCACAGCCTCTCAGAGTTCATCCACTCTGAATGATCCTTAGCATATACCTCACACTGCATGGCTAAGACTACAGCCCTTGCCTTGGAAAGGGATAACATTTCACTAGGTTGCATCCTTGGTGCGTTTCCTCCTCCTCTGATAGTATAGGAAGAGAGCAATGAAGACCACTTTTGATTGGTCTGCAATATAGAAATGTCTTTTATCTAGAACTTCCCAAGCAATGAGAATTGGCACAAATGGCTCCTGTTAGTCTAAGCTGGTGACATCCATAGGGTGGTGAAGCTGGCTTCCTTCATCTGCCAATGCCTGTGACTTTCCAATTGCATCTTCCTTATTTAAACACGGCTTTCTGTTCTTCTATTCCTTTGTGAAAAACTCACACAAGCAACTGAGAGAGACTTCTGCAGCTGACTAATTGTACTTTAGGAACAGTGCTGTGCAAAACGGCACCGTTCTGTTTTGACAGAATAGCATTTTGTTTCAAATTTCGTTTCAACTTGTAACCACTGTTCCGTTTCATTTCATCGAAACAATTTCGCTGTTTTGATGTTTCACCCATAGGCTATAATGCGGGAGGTCAAAACAGCCTATAACTTTGTCATTTCTGGCCTGATTTGGATGAAACTTGCAGGAATGGTAGCCCCTTCTGAAGACCTGAAGCCTACCAAGTTTCAAGGAGATAGGTGCAGGGATTCGGGGAAACTGCACCTCAAGCTGTGGACAAACTCATGACATGGGTGACACTGTGTGTGTGTTAAGGCACAGCAGGGTGAAAGCTGCAGGCTTGCTAGCTCCTGCTGAGGCCACGAAGCCTGCCAACTGTCAAGGAGATAGGTGCAGGGGTTCTGGGGCCCTGCTCCACTAGCTGCTGACAGGCAAAACTTGTGACATGCGTGCTTGTGCAACTGACTGTCTCTGTCTTGGGGCCGAGGGGGGTGAAAACTGCAGGCATGCTAGCACCTGCTGTGGCCATGAAGGCTTTCAGCTGTCAAGGAGATCTGTACAGGGGGAGTCTGGGTTCTGGGGCCCGCACCTCTGGCTGCTAACAGGCAAAACTCATGACATGGGTGGGTGACACTGTGTGTTCAGGTACGCCATTCCTGGCACTGGGGCCTCTGCACAACATGGCAGTGTGCCCCACTGAGGTCTCCTCCTCCCCTACAGCCTCACGGCCGGTCCACCAGTAAATGGCAGGAGGTAAAAATAACATAGGTGGCTCAGCACCAGTAGTACCAGCAGCATCTAAGGTAGCCGAACTGAACCATCACAGCCTTTCTTTTTATAAAGGAATTGACAGCAAGAAGTAAAGATGTTGTGTTGGATGGATATATGTTACTCGTGTGTGTGATGGCTTATCTTGTGTTTTAATGTTTAAATGTTTATTGTGGAAAAAAAACAGAATAGTTAGAGAAATATATCTTGGGACGCTTTCAGGTTGAAAAACCCTTTGTCAGGCTGAGGACATACCTGCAATTGGTGTGTCTTCTGGTCCTGGATGGAAGGAATAGTAAAGAAGCCAGAGGCTGGCCTGGACCGCAATGCAGGCAAGAAAGCCCGTCAGTGAAAATGGAAATGGAGGCGTCAGGGGGTGAGGGACAGGCTGGGGTGAAGGGTAGAGGGGAAAGGGGATGTAGCAGCTCAGCTAAAAGTGCAGAGGTGCCTTGGGTGTCAGATGTCCAGCAGGTCGCAGTGTGCCAGAACTGCACTGTGTATATTGAGTCCATGAGTTACCGTACCTACTACCCAGGAGGCTGATGAAGTGCAGTTCATAGGCCCAGCTCTGAAAAGCGGTTTGTACATTCAAACAAGCACCTAACCTCATCACCAGAACTGAAGTCAACTTCCTACAGCTCACAACACAAAACTTGCCAACTATCTCCAGTACCCCACAAACCGCACACCAGAATCTATCAAAGACAACAAAACCCAGCTACTTGTGGGGGCACGTTCCTCACCAAAAAACACTCTGCCTCGTCTGTCAGGCCTGATCCTGAGAGGGAACAAATTACAAACCACTTTTCACAGCTGGGCCTATGAACTTCACTTCATCATCCTCCTAGGTAGAGAAACTCATGGACTTAATATAGATTAGCCAGTGGAATTCTGACACACTGCAACCTGCCGGACATCTGCACCCCAGGCACCTCTGCACTTTTACCTGCACTGCTACATCTTCCTTTGTCGCCTCCATTTCCATTTTCACTGACTGGCCTTCTTACCTGCATTTTTTGCCAGGCCAGCCTCGGCTGCTTTACTATTCCTTCCATCCAGGACCAGGAGACACACCAACTGCAGGTGCTTCCTCAGCCTGACAAAGGGTTTTTCAACGCAAAAGCTGGCATCCCAGGCAGCTAAGCTGAGTTCCCCGGGAGCCTCACAACTGCACTGCAAACAGCAAGTGTCAGGCCTGTCAAAGACATGACAGGTCTGGGCTTTCCCCAGCCAGGACTGTGTGCGCGCATGCATTAGCTGGAGGTTATGGCACCTCCTACCCGCCTTTCACCAGGGGATTGTTGATCCTGGCATTTACACGGCTGCCGTGCCACCAGCAGTCCCACCAGGCCTCCCTACCCTGGCAGTGGGGTGTCACTACAGCCCCAGCAATGCTGAACACCCTTTCACTTGGAACACGGGTCGGTGGACAGGACAGGCGCTCACAGGCAACTGTGGCCAGATCCGGCCACATCTGGCTGTGGCTTGCCCAGTAGGCCAAGGGGTCACACAGCAGTGGCTCCATGTCCTCGGCAAGATAGGCAGCCACCAAGGCCTCAGTGCTACCTGCCTGATGGTGGGGTCTGGTGCCTCTAGACCCCACCATGGAAGCCATGGC